GGTCACTATCAACCTTAGACTGAAGGATAGCGGTAACATGTACTATTGGGAATTGAGCATCAAGTAGAAACTGGAATGGTGGTACTGTGAGAAGCATGGGCCAAAGAAGATAAACCAGCTGCCAGACAGGGTCAAGGTTAGAGAAAAAACACTCTCGTCTCTCTGGTCCACTCTCGTGCCCCAGGAGTATTTCACATCCATCATCTACAGTTAAAAGCTACTGACACTGCAAACTTGAACAGCTGTCTGAGGTCAGTCCTTCCAGGAATGAACCAGGACCAAAGTCCAGGAAGTTATTTGAACAAGGGCAAGCAAGCGAAGGCCTGGCTGGCACGAGCAGAATTCTGAAGACTATAAATGTGTATGGAACACACGCTGGATTAGCATATGTTACACTTTTCAAGAAAGAATTTTAAGACAATTTAAGAAGGGTGCACAATTATTAGAAATGTACTGCACAGGATAAGGCCAGTAAGAAGGACTGAAAGCTAACATGACTGAAGATGAGAATGGAAGGAAGAAGAGAGAGCAAGGAAAAAAACAGGGACCAGGATAGACAGGTCCCCTTCTTGGCAATATCAAGGAGTCAGGCCTTATCTTTAAGGAATCATACAGGGGATTTGATCAGGCAATGGGACACAATAATTTCTGTCAATTAGATCTTAAAGATCATTAATCAGCCTTCTCTTTCCTTCCAGAACTTTCACTAACTGAATTGCAAAACAAACAGTATAAGAAACATGTTAATATTTGTATATCAGCATGTATGTAGCTTGCAGTGATACCAAAGACTTCTTAAGCTCTCTAGTAGCATTAATTATCAGTACCATGAGATTTCTCTTCATAGTTTCACAGATGGAGTTCCCTACCCAGTAGTACCTGGATTTACTACTCACCTCACTATCCTTTCAGTTGATAACACTAGTTTCTCCCCATATATTTATCTTTACATAGTTATTTCATGGGGTTAGTTGCAGGAATAGTAACATGCAAAAGAAGTCAGTTGGCAGAGGATAGGAAACATTTCTCCATATGGGATACATGCAAGAAACAGAGTACCATGAAAACAGCCTAAGATTTTTACAAATGCTAGAGAAGATGGGGGTTTGTGAACATCTACAAAGGGCACTCACTTCCTGAATGCCTTCCCCACACCCTCTATTTCTATTTACTTTTTTAAAAAAAGTCATCAAACAGTCAAACAGGTTTGTTTTCTTGTGGGCTAGCTACCTAAAAACCATTCATAATTCTATTTTTCAGTTGGTCAAAGTGCTTACCATGACATACAGAGGATCTGAATCTGACCCCCAATAGCCACATTAAAAGAAAGCAAGCAAACAAACACTGTGGGAGAATGCTCTTCGATTTGTCACTTTTATTGGTTTAATAAAATGCTGATTGGCCAGTAGCCAGGCAGGAAGTATAGGCAGGGTGACCAGACTAGGAGAATTCTGGGAAGAGGAAAGGCAGAGATGCAGTTGTCACCCAGAAGTAGAGGAAGCAAGATGAGAATGCCTTACTGAGAAAAGGCAGTAAGCCACATGGCTAAACATAGATAAGAATTATGAAAGAACTATGGGTTAATTTAAGTTGTAAGAGCTAGTTAGTAATAAGCCTGAGAAATAGGCCAAACAGTTTATAATTACTATAAGCCTCTGTGTTTATTTGGGACTGAATGGCTGTGGGACCAGGCAGGACAAAAATTTCCATCTACAAACAAGAAGACGTGGATGTGTTGGCACACACTTGTAATCCAAGTGCTGGGGAGGCAGCGACAGGTAGATTCCTTGGAGCTCACTACTCAATGACCAACCAGTTTAGCCTACTTAATGAGTTCCAGGCCAGTGAAAGATCCCACTTGAAAAAATGAAGGTGGACATCCCTAGCTGGCCTCTACACGAATATACACCAACACTTACATGTTGCATGCACACATTCATATTCTCTCTCTCTCTCTCTCTCTCTCTCTCTCTCTCTCACACACACACACACACACACACACACACACACACGCTCAGGTTTCCCATACTATATGACTCAGTTCTGCCAATGAGCTGTTAGATGAAAATCCCTGGAAACAGTGTCTAGAAAAGCATTCAAGGAGGAGATGCAGGTAAAGTACTTGTTGCAAAAGCAGGAGGACTTGAGTTTGCCCCAGAACCTGCATAAAGCAGGTGTAGCACCAAATTCCTGTAATCCCATGAGATCAGAGACAGGGACAGAAGAACCCCCAGAAGCTCACAGGCGGTTACTCTAGCACATGCAGCAATGGTGAGAGAGGGGGATGGGTAGTATGACATCCCAAACTGTCCTGTACCCTGTGGCACATATATGCCTGGACTACCACTTATGTTCACTCGAGTGTGCACTCTCTTTCTTCTCTCCTTCCGACACACCCCAAAACAAAATAAAGAAACCCAACTATAATGCCACGTTGGCTGATGCCTATCAAGTCTGCCTTGAACTTCATCGTTTTTCTTGCAAAATGAATACTTAGGAGTACATCAGACGTCATACAATCACGAAAACAAGACTTCATACTAAGGATGAAGAGACAGCCAGAATCCTTGGTTACAGTAAAGCTCTAAAACCTCAAAAGCTCATTAAACCCTTGAAGAGACAAGTGGAGCAGACTTGTAATCCCAGCTTCCCAGAAGGCTGAAGCAGGAGGACAGGTTTAAGTCCAGCCGTGAACAGATGCTACCACAGAATAAAAACTTAGAGGGCAGAAGACAAGCTCAGCATCTGTGACGCCCGGGTTGAATCCCCAGTGTTAGCGCAAGGGAGGTGAGTGACTTCCTTTCATTCTTCACATTCACTGCAACTAATGATCAAATTTACTGAATAAATTTCAACATTAAAAATGTACTTAAACTTGAAAATTATATTTATACATAGGTAGACCATTAAATGACCTAGCATATCTGTTTTTAATAATGTGAGATTTAATATTCAAATTTCCAATAAATCACAAAGTATCAAAGTCTATTCCTAATGCTTTATATTGCCTTTGAAAATAGCAATTTGTCTTATTAAAATTATTAAATACACAGAACTTCAGTTTATTGGTTGCAGATACTACTGTTGACATTTTCAGTACCTGGTATAATTAGTAACCTAAATTTTTTTCTTGAAAACTACCTGTGACATATACTAAGGCCTAAAATAATGATTCAAAATTAAAAGTCTTACTAACCTTTGCTGCAAAATATAATAGCTGTCTAATCTCGTATCTTTGAAAATAAAATAAAGGAAATTGAAAATGCCAGCAGCAATGGCAAGTTATGAGCAACTCAAAGCCAAAATTTAACCAGACAAAATAATAATGCTTTCTCATACAGTTATGTATTTCAGCACAAATTCTAAAACTGGTTATTTCATTCCTTGGAGAAGCTACTTTAAATTGATTAAAAATGAAAACTTAAAGTTGGGGCAGGAATAATGACCAGAGAGAGAGAGAGAGAGAGAGAGAGAGATCTGTATCTGCCTGCCTTGAGCTGGAGAGATGAACAAGCCTGAGGATTTGAATTTAGGTTCCCAGCAACTACATAAACACTGTGCCGACTGGGAGTGGTGGGTGCACCCTTTAATCCCAGTACTTGGAAGGCAGAGGCAAGCAGATCCTATGAGTTCAAGTCAGCCTCGTCTATATAATGAGTTCCAAGCCAGCCATGGGGACATAGTGAGACTGTCTAAAAAGACAAAAGTAACTTAAACAAATGTTGGTCATGGTAATGATAATTTTTAACCCTAGTGCTGGGGTTAGGAGTTGGGAGCAAGATGGGGCAGTGAGAATCAGATCCCTTAGTTGCCTGGCCTGTTAGTATAGCCAAAACATGAATGCCAGGTTCAGTTAGATTCCCTGTCTCAAAATAGGATAAGGTAGAGGGTGACAGAGAAAGACAATTTATAGCGAGCTCTGGCCTACATGCCTATACCTACACACACACACACACACACACACACACACACACACACACACGGAACTTGTAGTCTTCTATCACATTCACAATCTTCAACAACGCTTACAACTTTCTCACAATCCAGCATCCCAACCTCCTTTGCTAGCTTAATTCCATTTCTATTTCCCACTCAGGTCAAAATTATTCTATTCCTCCCAAGGACATTGTACCCCACCCACTTTTGAATTTAAGGGTGTTCCCAACAGTAAATCCTGTTTTCTTTGGAGTAGTCATCAAGCTCTGGCGACAGCCACCTTCACTTTTCTGGTTTACTGACAGCTCCTTCTATGATCTCACACTTTAGCTGACACCAGTCCCATGGGAACAGTACCTCTTCTTGTCTTCAACTGTTTCTCCAGCATTAGGAACAGTGCCTAGCACAGAGTAATACTGTTCATAAAATACTGCTGAGTTAATAAATGTGAACTCACAAGCCTTCTGAGGCATTCAGTAAAACTAATTCATTCTAGGGGCTGGGGCGACAGCTCAGTCAGTAAAGTGTTTGTCTCTGCAGCATGAGGACGCTAAGGTAGATTTCCAAGAACCCATGTTTGTTTAGTTTTTGTTTTATTTTTTTTTTAAATCAGGCATGGTAACACGAGAAAGGAAAAGATAGGTGGGTTTCTGAGCTCACTGGTCAGCCAACCTAACCTACTTGGTGAACTTCAGGCTAGTGTGAGACCTTGTCTGAAAAAACAAAGATAGATGCATCTAAGGAATTCCCTGGAGCTCTGGCCTTTTACATGTGAATTCACATGTACACCTACACACATACACAAATTACAACCTCTGATTCTTTACCTGAAACAGCACTAACATTTTTAAAAGAAAGTTGAACAGATTGCTTCTTGTTCAGTCTGCCCAATACTAGTTCCAGGTGATCTATTTTATTAGTGATGGTGCTACTGGTTATTGTTAGCCAGACAAACAATAACAACTATCTGCTTATGACCAACAATAAATCTAAGAATAAGGAAGTACTAATAAAGGCATGCTCACAGAATAAATCTTACATAAATGTAAAACTACCCATTTTACCGTCTTAATAGAACTCCTTTGTTTTTCTTCCCAAACACCACTGCTCAACTCAAGTGTGCAATGAACATTTGCTTCTCTGTCATAGGATCCAAAAATGAACAACCTGCAGAAAAAGACAGAACAGGCAGGACACTGTAACAGCCATATGCAATAAATATCTCCTTTCTCATAATCACAAGGAAAAGCAACGTATTACTCCATTACTATTTTAATAACAATAACAAAAAAGAAACACCTGTTGCGCCCTCTAGTGGAGAAGCCCAGTAAGGCAGGCTCCAGCTGGAGGTTTCCCAGGCAGCTGGTGTCAGTGTTTTAAACAAACAGAACCATGTAATCATGAGGTAAGACAATTGGCCAGACATCTCTATGTTATAGTAAGCAAGACAGAGACTTTCAAGAAAGACTTTTGGATTTAAAAGCGAAACAAGTTGGAGAGTGATGCATATAGGTACATATCATTTCTGTAAAATTTAATATGCAAAAGGGTACTACAATTGAATATCTGCACGCATATTGGTTTTACCATCTAATGTGACCCTAGTTAAATAATTTGCTTTCCTAGTCTCTTTCCCTCTCTGGAAATTTTAGAATAAAAATAGCATTACTTACTTTTCAGGAAGAACAATTTTAATAAGACAATATTTTAATAAGTATACAAGCATACTTAGTTTTTTAATACATAAGTACTTGGCATAGGGCTAAACAAACAATAAGTGCTCAATATTTGTTACTTCTTCCATTTAAAAAATGTGTATCAATGTTTTGCCTGCATGTCTTTCTGTATACCATGTGCATGCCTGCTGCCAAGAAGGAGTCAGAGCCTCCAGAAGTAGAGTTACAGACAGTTGTGGGTGCTGAGAATCAAACCCTCTGGAAGATGAGCCAGTGACCTTAATTACTGAGCCATCTCTTCAGACTCTTTCCCTATCTTGAAAACAACAGCCAAAGACTAAAGAAAACACTTAACCATGCTTAATATTCAGTTATAAAGACACAGCTCTAATTCTGAGACGACATAAAACTTTTATTATTGGATTAAAACAAGGGTATTATCCATAAATCTAACTTCTATAGTATGCACCCTCAGACTGTAACCTGCCAGCTTGTCTCTGAAATGAGCTTATGAATAGCTTAGCATTTACCAGCATTTTAGCCATTACTCTATTACTTTATCACTATGCAAAAATCACAGGCAGGAATGAAATAATGAAGGAAAAGTGGAAAAATACACCATGGGCATTTGAGAAAATTGTGTCTTAAGTTTGGAGGCACTGAGCAAGCTCACCAAATCACAGTCATATCTCACGAACTGGGTTCATAAACTGAGAATCCCGAATAATTTTTGACAGTGGGGGACAAATTTAAATATTAAATATTAAATTTAGTCCTTAAATTTAAATATTAAAGAATCTTTTAAAAAGACTTTAAACTTAGTGCCTAATAAACTACTTCCAAAAAGAAGACAGATCAAACACATCAAGAAAATTCCTAACTTAAAAAAGGCTGAGTTTTTAGAAGAACCACAATTTTCATTCACTGAAGCTCTACTGCCACCATCTGTTCAGAGAACAAACTGCCTCTGGCTTCTCCAGCAAGCAGAGCTCCAGGCTCCAGACAGGTATGTTAATTTAATGGTCAGGAGTCACGAACCAGAAAGTAAAGCTCTTAGGAATTATTCCTCAGATCATAAGCTATTTTACATTTTTCATAGTGAATTAAAAATACTTTTTAAATAACATAACAGATAGCAAAACAATTTAGCTCAAAGCAGTCACATTATTAAATGTGAGATATAAAAAAAAACTACAAAACTCAAAAGAAAAACAAAATCTTGCCCTAGACTACACTATGCTTTATTACGACACAAAGTATTAAGTATCAAAATAAAAGAAAAAGACATAAAATTAGATTCACAAAAGGCTGATATCTAGCTCAGTGGCAGAGCACTGCCTAAAACAGGTATAAGGTCCTGAAATAGGTCCTAACACAGAACAAAACAACAAAACCTATTGTGAATTATTTTTATATTTCAAAGGGTACCATCACATAAATGAGACGATTCCTAAAACAGGGGCAAATATTTTCAAATGAATTTGATAAAGATCAAGTATTTAGGAGGAAAAAAGTTACAACATAACAATAAAAACTAAAATAACACAATTTAGGAACAGGCAAGAGAGGGGGCTCAGAAATTAACCACTTGCTGCTCTCTTGAAAGAATACCTGGGTTTGGTTCCCAGCACCTACATCTTACAACTGTCTGCAACTCTAGTCTCAAAGGATCGACCCCTCTCTGGCCTCCACAGACGCTGCATGCACAAGGCACACTTGTTATTAGTCAGGAGAATAAGACAACTCAAACCATTTCAAGCCAACTTGAGTGGCTATAATCTTTAAAAAGAACTGTTTTTTAAGAGACGTTGGCGGGGTTATGGAAAAACCTGGATCTTCATACATTACTATTTAAATGTAAAATGGTACAGTCACTTTGAAAAAAACTTTGTCAGTTGCTTAAAAAAATTAACATACGACTTAGAAATTCTACTCCAAAGAAATATTCTATGACAACAAAATACTAGAGCACTCTGCAGTACGGATGCAATGAAAGGTTGCTAGGTCAAAGGAGCCAGTCAAAAATGAACACAATTTCATTCACACTAAATTTTTAGAATAAGAAAACTTATAGACCAAATCCAGAATCATTATAGGAAGCCATGGTTCTGGACTGATTCCCTCTATTAGGCACCCAAAGAACAAACTACTAAACCAAAATGAAGTCACTCCTGTTAAATGTCAATCATCTAAGCTAGAGAGATGGCTCCAGGGGTAAGTTGCTTGAATTTGAGTTTGGACTCCCATCAGTCACATGAAAAGTCAGGGATGGTGGCATGTGCCTCTATCACCAGTGCAGAGGTAGGAAGGGGAGACAGGCAGAACCTGGGGTTCACTGGCTCTCAGTGAAATAAAGGATGAGCTCCAGGTTGAATAACAGAGGTCTCAAAAACTAAATCTTGAGTGATAAAGACACCCGACATCCACCCTACCCCATCCCACACACTTTACACAATGTCACATGATCAAATTGAAACTTTAAGGAAGTAAATGGATCCCCAAACAGATCAACTTGTCCTGAAAATAGATTTCACCTGACCTCTTCTGCTTTAACCTTGAGTAAATAGAAAGAAAGAAGGAGGAAGGGAGGGAGAGAGGGAGGGAGGGAGGGAAGGAGGGAAGGAAGGAAGAAAGGAAGGAAGGAAGGAAGGAAGGAAGGAAGGAAGGAAGGAAGGAAGGAAGGAA